CAATTCAATGTGTTACTTTTTCTCAACAAGTGCATGTAAGATTGCTTTCTAATGACAACTCTTTTAGTTCTCCCCTCTCCCCCCCCCCCCCCCCCCCCCACACACACACACACACCAACTATTTTATGTAATTGTACTCTTTGTCTTGTCTTCAACAATTCATTTAAACAGAGCCTAATGATTTTTTTTAAAAACAATTCTCATAACTTGCATTCCCCCCCCCCCCCCCCCCCCTCCCCACCCATTAAAAACGTCCATACAACATTGTTTTTTTTTTTTTGTTTCAGCAATCCTTATGGTAACATTGTCTTTCCTGGTTTGTTTCCACAATTTTAAAAGCAACACAATTTCTTATTTTACTTATAAAATTACCGACTTCCAAGAGTTTTTTTCGTAGGAAAAAAAGGTGCCGATATTCACCACAAGGTGTCTTTAAAATTGCCAGGACAGTACAGTCTACCTAGTATTACTGCAAAAAGATGTGTCTAAAAAATGTGTCAGTATTAGATGGGGAAAAAACATCCCACTTGCTTCCCTGTCATTAATTATCTCATCATTCTTGTTTATGGTCAATTGATTCCACTGATATCCACATCAAATAAACATATATGCTTGTGTATAAACAATAACAAAAGGTAGTATAAGGAATACAAATTCAAATTACATGACTTTCCGTGCAAAGACAACATGGAAACCTCGGCACAGCATAAGGCAAATAGGTGGTTAAGTGGAATCAACAATTAGGAACAGATAATTTAGTTACATAAAATTACCCCACTTTGTCATGCCACTGGGCATCAAGCGCTAGACCTATATTTTATAGACCAATCAGCACTGTGTGTGTGTGAGTAATGTGGTCAGCATCAGGCCAGCTGTCTTTACTTGTACCTGGTACCCATTTTAGGCTGGGCTACCCTTGGAGCCAAAGTTTTGCGTGTGTGTAAAATCAGCCTGGATAAGGTCTGAACTTACAACCTTTGGGCCCGTGGCGAGCATCTAGCCGCTACAGCACGACAACTAGCTAAATCAAACCCAAATGTAAATATGATTACAACTAGCTAAATCAAATCCAAATGTAAATATGATTACAACTAGCTAAATCAAATCCAAATGTAAATATGATTACAACTAGCTAAATCAAATCCAAATGTAAATATGATTACAACTAGCTAAATCAAACCCAAATGTAAATATGATTACATGTAAAGGGTGTGACTATTTTCTTTTTATGTCTCAAAACTAAGAACTGCTTTAAAACTAACAGAGAAGTGGTTAAGCGAGCAATTAAAAATGCTAGGCTTTTAATCTGGATAACCAGATTTAAATCCTCTGTAAAGATATAGTTTTTTTTTTTAAATTCTGTCCTTTTTTGGTCCTACTCCTTACACCATAAAGTGTCACAGTGAGATATAGTTTCCTATATTTTGCTAGCCGCACTGCTTGTGTTAATGTCATATTGTGTTTCTGTTGTGTCTCCTTTACTCCCTGCATCCATCACTCTCTTGCTGTTATCATGTAGTACGTTCTGGCTTCTGATTGTGTTCCCTTTTTGACTGAAAGACCAAACCATTAGATTCTTTGATATTCTATGAAATCATTCACCAGTACTGTGGCTACTATTGTTCTTAGTTCTGCATTGGATGACTGTTTTTTTCTTGATTTTCCAGGTGCCTTTCTTGCACATCGCATCTCACATGATGGATTTGTTTTCCTGCCGAGGGCATCAATAAACTTTTACAGCTCACAGTGACTGCACTAGCCATGCGGCCCTAAATTCTCAGGCAACATCCTAAACAAATGTTAAATACGGGCAGTTAAACAAATACTAATGCATATTGTTAGTACCCGACAAGCTTAACACAATGTACGTTACCATGTTCAGACTTGAACAAAATATTGACTAGAATATATTAGCATGTGAAAGTCCAAAGAGAAAATTACAAAAGAAAATATCTTACAAACAACTTACATATCGGTATACGCATTTACAAAAAGAAAAGAAACTACACATCTATTTCTAATTCTTGAAGAATTTGTTAAACATGTAAACCTTAGCCTCAACTTCATAATACTCTCTTTCAATTCAAATGCTTATTTTTTCAACCTTTAGGAGTTACAAATATTTTAAGATAAAGATGATAATTTTCATTTGACACTTCCAAATTAAAAGTTAAAATTATAATTAACCACACATACATAAGGGTTTTCAATATAATATTCTTGTACATTTTGCCAGAAAAAATATACTTGCAAGATTACACTCAGACAAACTGGCAATACAATCTCACCAAAGCTAATAGCTTAAAATATTGAAAGATTAACTGCACATTAAAATCTCCAATACAGTGAACAATATTTTAAAAGTTTTCAAAATAATACAAGTTTTCAGTATAAAAGTTGAACATTTCCAATACAACTGTGAACACATTAAAATATTTACCTGCTCTGCCAGTAACAAATGTACTCATACAAGAAACAAGAATGACACAACCAGATATGAGATGTAACTCTTTCAATACCAACCAACTCATCACAAGTTCCTTGATCATTCCAAAGACAATATGATATTCTTGTTGTCTTCTACCCCAGACAGTTCTAACAGTAAACCTGTGTATAGAAATTATCAGTTAAACCTCTTCTACATTAGACAGTTCTAACAGTAACCCTGTGTACAGGAATTATCAGTTAAACTTCTTCTACCCAGACAGTTCTAACAGTAACCCTGTGTATAGAAATTATCAGTTAAACCTCTTCTACATTAGACAGTTCTAACAGTAACCCTGTGTACAGAAATTATCAGTTAAACTTCTTCTACATTAGACAGTTCTAACAGTAACCCTGTGTACAGGAATTATCAGTTAAACTTCTTCTACCCCAGACAGTTCTAACAGTAACCCTGTGTACAGGAATTATCAGTTAAACTTCTTCTACCCCAGACAGTTCTAACATTAACAGTTAAACTTCTTCTACCCCAGACAGTTCTAACAGTTACCCTGTGTATAGAAATTATCAGTTTAACTTCTTCTACCCCAGACAGTTCTAACAGTAACCCTGTGTATAGAAATTATCAGTTAAACTTCTTCTACCCCAGACAGTTCTAACAGTAACCCTGTGTATAGAAATTAACAGTTGAACTACTTTAGCCCCAATGTGCCTTTCAATCAGTCAATCAGCTGCCATTTCCCCAATGAAGATGGGCTGCAATGGATTTCCAACAAGCTATCTTGGTTTTACACTCTCTTAAACTGGTGTTCGTCCATCTCTTGATGTTGTTATCCCATTTGTATCACTGCCTACCTCTTGCTCTCTTGTCCTCAACCAGTGTGGCTTTTAAAAGAGTGTTACAACTATTAATGTGGCCAAAATATTTAAACTGTCTGTTATTTTGCTTCTTTTAGTAATTCTTTTTTCATCCATGAACAACGACCTATTTTGTATATCCACATTTCCACTCAATTGGTTTTTCTAGTTGCCTGTTTACTGTCCAGGTTTCTGCACTATACAGCAGTACACAGTATACATAACATTTGATTATTATTCTTTTTAATGTACTGTTTATCTCTCTAGATGTCAATAATTTTTAATTTTACTGAAGACAGTTTTAGCCACTCATATTCTTTGTTGATTTCTGTGCCTTTGCCAAACTCCTTGAGGTTTTAGTATTGACTGATTGCAAGCCCAACTCAATGGAACAGGAAGAGCTAAAGCAATAACTGAAAGAGTTAATGAACATGAACAAGATGAGACAAATTAATGTTTCATTGTGATAATGCTGTTGTGAATAGCCTAACCTGGCTTTCTGAGCTGAATCTTTAAACACAAGTAACAAAAATAAGACAACAGGTGAATATCAGTGCTTTTCTGTGTTTCAATTTGTTCGCTGGCATACTTTCTTGGTTTAAAACATCAAAACATATGCAAATGTGACTCTTCCATCATTTGGGTCAGCGACATTTGTTGCTTTCGTGTGCTGTTATCATGTTGTGCATTTCATTGCAAAACTAGTCTATGTTCTATTGTGTCAAACAAAAGACTATGTAAATTGAGTACCTCTGATATAAAAATTCTCTTTTTTGCTTTAATGTATGTTTATTTATTTATGAAGTAGGCAATTAGAATTTCGACCATATCAAACACCATGGCGGATTGGAAAAAAAAACAGCAGAAGGCACAGTACCAGGAAAGAGAGGCAGTGGCTGACCATCACAAAGACAAGCACAGGATTTAAGTGATATCATAAGTAGGAAAGTGCATAAGGTGGGAGAGATGGTGAGACAGAGAGTTTCTTTTAGACAGACCATGACCAGAGTGTTATTCTGCAAAAGACCTGCTGCATGAAGTGATGCAATAAACCAGTTCTTAAGAGCAATACAGAGTCGATCCTGATATACAGAAGTCAATCACAGACAGTCAGCCAATCAGTAAAGCATTAAGTGAAAGCTTCAGAGATGTAGCATCCCAGACAAATTGTGAGAACACTGTGGACAGATAAAAAAAAAGTGTAATGAAGATGTTTTGAAAGAAGATAACTCACAAAGTAAAATGATAACCTGCATCAACAGACACAGCACATTCTGTGGTCACATCATGAAAAAGGGAAAACTGGAGTACACTGTGACAACAGGAAAGTTGCAGGGGAAGAGAGGCAGAGCGAGACCAACACAGAAGATGCTTGGCAGTTGGTATCATGCCATGAAGGATCATTCTTATCAGAAATGACTGGAGACAGAAGGTTGTAAACAAACATGACTACCAATGACGCTCACCACAGACTATAAGAAGTATAAATCAAAAAGGTACCGACAAATTATGCCCGGCAATAAATTTTATAACCTACTGTTTGCGTCTTTGTTATTCAAATTCTCAGTGGGAGAAAATTTCTAAATTTTTGCCGATATCTTTCAAACCACTACTTCACCATGTTGACACAACTCCCTAAACACCCAGATATGACTGTGTGTGGATCAAAAATAACAAATCAGCCCTGGCATCTGCTCTGTTTATAGCTCGTCATGCTTGGGGCCACTGAATTCTTCATGTGAGATAAAACCATCTTTATCCTTGTCTTCATGGTTGAAAATCTGGGAAATGATTTCCTCATGTTGGCTGTCATCCTCGGACGATTTGCCAACTTTGGCAGCCTGTCTTTTTATAAAAGCTGACACCTATCGTGGAGAAATATAAATGTGGTCAGACAACATATGATCGAATGAAGTCAACAACAAAGCCTAGCTTGTACAAATGTATCAATTATTAGGATTTACCGGAAAAGTAGGGCTCTGGGGTCAACAGTTTCATAAAAATTGGTAGCAGATCATTTTAAGAAATGTCTGAGAAAGGTAATGACAAGGAAGAGAGTGCTTCTCTCCTTATACTTCATAAATCGAGGCCTGGAATATGTCAAGGCCGAGCACTTAACACTCCACTGCAACCAACTTCTGTTGTGGAGAAAGATTCTGTGATTTTATTCTGTAATCCTTGAGTAAAAGAGCCCACCCCCAAGGATTTACTTATTTCCTGTGCCCATCTACATGCTAGCCAGCCCCTGCCCCTTCTTCCTGGCACCATGCTTTCTGCCCCCCCCCCCCCCCCCCCCCCCCCCCCCCCCCCCCCCCCCCCCCCCCCCGTGACCTCTGAAATTGCAAAAAATATTTTATGTTCCGATAAAAGATGTTTATTAGTCTTGATGTTCAGATCTTTTAAGGATGTCAGTTTTTCTTTTCTTCTTTTTCCATGGTAATCTGAGAATCTTTCTGTAGCATTTCAGCGCAAAAGACCCTATTTTCTTCCCTATGGACTGATAGTCATCGACTCACACCCATATGTTGCTACAGGAAAGATGCATGCTCTAAAATGTTGATTCTGGTTTCCTTGGTGCTCATCCATAGATTTGTAGTACTGTTTAATCTCTGCATTGTTATGGCCATCCTCCTTCTGACCTCTGCTGAACAGTCTCCATTGCTGTTTATTATGGAGTCTAGATATCCAAGAATGTGACATTTTCAATTTCTTCATTATTAATTGTTATTTTTGGGTGACAGTTTCATCTGTGGACAATTATTTTTGTTTTCTTCAAATTCAAGAACAGGTTGTGATCTTTACTGTGTTTTTGTGTTTGTGACAGACATGATTAAATGTGCTATTTCTTTTACTCTGTTCGAAAACAAACTGCAATTTAAAACAGGTGAGCATTTTAACACGCTTCTTCTTCTTCTTTCGTTCACCTGAAATAAGCTGTCTATATCAGCAATTTTGTCTCTTGTATAAATTTCACTGTCGTTGTTAGTTCATTCAGTGGTCCATAGAGTTTACGTTCCACTGTTGTTCTTTCTGGCCAAAAGGTTTGCCTTAATGTGTCAAATTTGGGGCAGTCCTGGAGTACATGCTCTGCTGTGTGGGGCACCTTTCCGCAGGTGCACACGGCTGATACACCTATCTTTAATTTTGTGTACATATGGTAAGGTAATCGGTTGTGCCCTGTTCTGAGGCGGAGGATAATGACTTGTTCTGGTCTGTCCATAATAAAATAGTCGTCTTGTGCTGGGGCTGGTGGTTTCCTGATCGATTTAATGATTCTTTTCTTTTGGTGGTATGTGACTGGTACATCCATGGAAAACACGCTTCTTCTACTCTTATAGTCCCTGCTGTGTGGCTTTGATAGTTATGATTATCCACAATGGCCTGTCTCATGTATTTGCAATCATTTCTGGCACAGATGGTCTATATGAAATGCTGTCAAACATCTCTCCTTTTGGTCCGCCTCTGTCCTTCCCACCATCCTGATGGACTCTAGATTGCTCGTTCTCATGATCTGACCAAAGAATATAGATTGCCTCCTTCTCTTTATGAGTTCATATATATTTTCATTTCATTTTCTCTCTCTATGATTTCTTTTCTTTCGTCTAACTTCCCCCTTCCCACTTTTCTCAAGAAGCCAAAAACTCAGCAAGGCTAAACCCTTAAATGCTTATAGAGCACATCTATGGTGGCATGTTGCCAAGACACCTGGCTAACAGCGCTGCTGTTTTTGCACCTGCACAGCATTTAGCAGGTCAGGATATTTACTAAAAACAGCATTTATGAGTCCCCCCTCCCCCCCCCCCTTCTTTGTGACTGAAATCGCTATTTCAAAGACCTGATTTTTCATCCCTTTTGCCAGAATCCCAACAAAGGTCACGGGTCACGTACGAGTCACCTGATAGTTTTTTGTATAGGCCTATAGGAAAGAAAGAAAGTTAATTCTTCACTCGGACAGTCCCTGACTGATATAGGACTTCAATGGAACAAAGCTACAAAGAAAACTGCTCACAGAGAAGTCTGGCAGTCTCTCTGGCACTAAGAGGAGCGACTAAATAAGTAAGACTTGTGTAAAATAGTTGTTTGAGGATTTTGGTGATTTTCAGAGCATCATAACAAAAAACACAAAATATCAATATAGACAAAACATCAGAGCATCATAACAAATAACACAAAATATCAATATAGACAAAACATCAGAGCATCAAATAAATAACACAAAAAAAATCAATATAGACAAAACATCACAGCATCATAACAAATAACACACACAAAATATCAATATAGACAAAACATCAGAGCATCATAACAAATAACACACAAAAATCAATACAGACAAAACATCCGAGCATCATAACAAATAGCACAACAAATCAATATAGACATTTAAGAAAATAAACTGTTGACTGACCTCATCAGTTGAAAGCATCTTGTCTTTGTCTGCATCAATATCATCGAAAATATTAACTGGAGCCTCAGCCTCTTCAATACTGACTAGCTCTACTTCAAATGTCAGCCCGGAGTTTGGTGGAATCAAATCTCCTGGAGAGATACAAGTAAAACATATCAACTGAGAGTTGGTAAAAATCAACTTTCTGTCATCCTATCATTTTTCTATCTGTTGTTCTTGTTGGCACCATTTTTTTTCCTAATGATTATCTAAAAAAAAAAAAAAAAAAAAAACCACAAAATTATAGAATAATGTAAGAAAGAGATGAGGTAGAAAAGTATAAAAAAATGTAAAGTATTTGCCCACTTTACAAGACCAATTACTGTAAACAAACAAGAGTATTTAGCCTTCATCAGCAAAAAATGACAAGAAACCAAATGCAGAAAAAGTATATAATGACTCTGAAATTACTACACACAAATATTATGTACATGATTCAGACAAAGTAATTCAGATGATCGTGCTTCACTGTGCCATAGTCCATCACAACCCACAGCCACTTCAATTAAGGGCCCGGGATTAAGTTCCTCATCTACATCCAACATGATATACTTTCTTCATGACCCACCCAGTTGTTACATTATACTACTTTAGCCACATTTTCACATTAACTTCAGGCGGACAGACTGGCTGGCTCTGCACAACTTGGTGGAATACTGATATATGATAAGACAGACGTGGTTAGTGCCTTGTGGAAGAGTGTGTACAGTTCAGAGGAGCAGATGGATCAACAGTCTGGTGAGATTGATGCAAGGAGGAGTGACGAGAGGTTCTGGCAAATGCTCAAGGCTCAGAGGAAAGGCAAGGCGGATGTTTAATCCGAATGCTACAGGCACTACTAGTATCTGAATTCCTCACTGGCTGCTTAAGATGGGGATGGAGAGCTTATGGGAATGCCCCGAGTGCTATGATATCGGTTCTTGAATCAAATCACATCACATAAACTTCAGTCCAGGGTCATTATTTTAACTGCTCAGACTTAAAAATTTATTAGTTACATTCCCCGTGTGGGTTCCGGGGCCAGATTATGGGAAAAAAAAAAATTAAGAGACCCCCCCCCCCCCCCCCCCCCCCCACAAGCATTTTGAAAATTCAACTAATTAGAGGTTTTTCCTTTAAGTCAGAGTGCATCTATCTGAGAGACAAGGAACAGTCTGCATATGAATAAGCTAGATCTTTAAAATGGATGAGCATGCAAAAAAATCAAGTTCTGGAACATAACTGAAGTCCAGAAGTGGATGAACAACCAGAACTTTCCGCTAGAGTTTACATCTGGTGAACAAGAAGAATTAGTTAAACTAAAATTTATTAGACCAGAATGAGTTTAAAGAATAATTGGTTGGTAACAAAAGAAAAAAAAAAGATTATTTTTAAAATATCAAAACACACCTGCTCCAGCTTCTCCATAACCCTTACTGGCTGGGATAATGAGCTTTCTCTTCTCGCCCACACACATGTCCAACAATCCCTCATCCCATCCCTTGATGACTTGGCCAGCCCCCAGCTGGAACACAAATGGCTGACCCCGGTCATGGCTGTGGAGAAAACAGTTCACAGAATCAGACATCCTGTGAGATTTTAAATAGTCAACAGATCATCCCCACTGCATATCCAACAAATCCAATCCATGAAGGGAAGTGCTTATACTCAGGACATTTCTTCTGGTGGTTCGTGACTGTATGCAGCACCTGCCATTTTGCACACACACACAAACACTTTAATTACACTGCCTTTATTTAAAACTTGTGATGTGTAGGCAGGAGAAGGGGGATGGTTTTTGAGCCTGAAGATTTAGGGCTGCAAGGCTGGTGCTGTGGCAACAGACTGTGCAGGTTAGGATTTTTTTTTTGTCCTCGACAGGATAAAATTCACACCTTAAGGAAGATTCAAACATCATTCTCTCACATGAGATCCCAGCTTTCTTACCTATTTAGCCTTGTTTATAATGCAGCATTTTGTCTTCACTACTGTAAAAGACACTTTGCTGAGAGTACTGCCAACTATATTTTTTCTGGGGAAAACCCAGTCCTTGCTTATATCCAATCATTCATACATTTCTCAAAATGTAGCAGCTGATTAGAGAAGTTCAGTGTTTGCTTGCTATTCTTAATTGGCTGCACTGCAAGCACTGTCACTGCTGTTGTCTGGCTTCACTCCTTCTGACCTGATAATATGTTTAACATTACTAATTTTCATGGGGTTTGTACATCAGACATCAGCCTGGTCCAAGGTGTTCAATACATCATCTTGATCAACAAAAACATCAGACTGGTCTGGTCTACTCTATGGTTCTCAGCATATCAGCCCTGATCCACGGTTTTCATCAAAGGCAGCTCATGATAAAAGTATAAATTCATTACATTAAGAGAATAAATATGTGTTCCTCTACAGTAAACATTGCTGTTAGGACATAACAGTAACTTCTGCCGTCGTGGCACTCGCCCATTCCCCGTCCGTTCTGAGCGTTCTCAGCACTGGTCAATTATCAATAAAATAAACATAGATGTGACAGAAAATACATTTGTAATCTTACCTGGAATCGAACTTTGCCCCTGTTGCAGTCAGTGTACCAGTGTAATGCATGGACAGGCGATCATAGCGCTTAGATTTTCTCTGACAGTCCTCTGGGGGTGGAGAAATCGTCTCAATGTTAATTTTTTGGTCCTCCGAGTCCTCAAATTGTTGATCTGAAGATTCGTCATCATCATCATCGTCACTGACTACAACAGCCACAAAAAGCAAGGCAATTAATGAGGCAACGTAAAGAAACTTTAGCTGCATGTCTGGATATATGCTAATATTCTTTTATAAACTAATATTCAGAACGAACAAAAAGAAATTTACTAAATTTCTGAGGATCGAGGAAAAGCCGACCGGGTCCCCCTGACGTCTGCGGGTGAAAGTGAATGTGCTTTTCTGACGTTGAAGATCGCCTACCTCACGAGCCTTGCCGTACCCCTCTCCCCGTGACACTTGACCAGTGGTTCTAATTTGGTGCCCATGGAACAAATTTAGGAGTCCTTCTTCTTCTTCTTCTTCTTCTTCTTCTTCTTCTTCTTCTTCTTCTTCTTCTTCTTCTTCTTCTTCTTCTTCTGCAGTATTCCCAGACTTTGAGCTTTATTCCTGCAGTTATTGCCACCCCATTCATCTCTGTGATTGGACTTATCTTTTCTTGTTGGTGAATTCAGGTGCTTTTAGGTCTGCCTCCGCGATATTAATCACACACACACACACACTCACACACACAACACACACACACACCACTTTAAAATGCAATTTTTTGCAAGAGTTGAATTAAAATTATAATAAGTTCTTCAGTATAACAATTCTAAAACAATATATAATATTTGCAGCAACCCATCAAAAATAAGAGCGGCCCTCAGGGCCTATCTAACTGGGAACCACTGTACTAGCGGATTTGATTGGACCCTGCATGTCCCATGCTCACGTCGCCGTGTGATTCTCTCATTGGCTGACTGTCTACTGATTCAACAACTCTAACACGTCTCCAATTGTAGGACTGTTCTATGGGGAAGAGATTTTACAGGTGATGGGGATTTTTACTGATGAACATACGTGGTCCTTCTGATTATATAGGTCAAGCCGACTAGGTTATTGATACAGCTGAACGATTGGAATGTGTTGTAGTTGTGGTTGTAGCGATCACTAGATGAAGTCAATAGGAAGCTTTGTAGAGTAAACGCCGATGTAGTAGTTAGTTGTAGTAGCAGCAGCAGTAGTAGCAGCAGCAGCCATAGGCACCGAACTTGAAAGACTGGGTCCCCTGAGCCCTCATCCACCCACAAATTGTAGAGGAAAAGGTGAGGACCCTCCAAAGAAAGATTGTAGGGTGGCTGACCCCCCCCCCCCCACACACACACACACTCCCCTCAGCTCCCAGCCATATATAGATTTCACTTTTTTAAATAACTCTCTCTCTCTCTCTCTCTCTCTCTCTCTCTCTCTCTCTCTCTCTCTCTTTCTCTCTCTCTCTCACGCACACACATATACTCACGCACGTACACACACCACTCACATACAGTATGTATTTCCCCTAATGTATTTTTATATTTATTTTCCAATGTTTAGGAGCTCCGTGGGGATCATAGTCAAGCGAGCTTGAGCTTTGTGCAATGTTTTCGTTGGAGAATGTCCTTTCTTCGAAGAGTGAAGCAGTCTTATAGGGTAAAACTGCGCAGTTAAGTCGAACACACCCCCACACATTTTCCACTGATCTACAGGTGTCACTATGTTCTCCAGTGTCTCTCGTCTCATTGTGTGGCCAAAGAACAATTTTGTCTCTTTCTGATTTTTGTATACAGATATCTACTTTCATTAGCTCCTTTCAAACAATCGTTTTTAGTTACTCTGGCCGTCCAAGGTGTTCGTAACATTCGTCTCAGAAACCACATCTCTGTTGCTTCAAAATTCTTCTTAATTTGTTCACTGATATTCCAAGATTCGCTGCCGTACAGCAAAATAGGTTCTATTCTCTTTTGGGAACAGAAGTCAGTCAAAGACACTTTGTATGCCTTTGGCACATCAGACTTGTGCTGTTAGACCTATATACATTAACCGACACCCAGAATGCAAGAGGAGCTTTCATTCTTCTTTCTATCCCCCAATGGAGCAAAGGCTCTCAACCAACTCACGCCAAGTCGTTCTATCCTTCGCCATTGCATAGAGCTCTCTTCATGTCCTCCCCATCTTTCTAACTTCATTCTCCAGCTCTTCTACATGTGTTTTTTGGCCTCCCTTTATTCATATGCTCCTGTAGGTTCCAATGCAAAGACATTCTAGTTATGCTGTTCTCCTGTTTTCTCAGGGTGTGTCCTATCCAACGCCAGCGTCTTTTCCCTACCTGTTGGTCCACAGGAGCCTGTTCAGTTCTCTCTTGAGCTTTTATGAAATTTATGGAAGTCAACAGAAATTGAAACTAATGCTAAATGTTTAATTCTATTGTCAAATCAGTACTGCTGTGTGAAGCTGAAATAAGAACTAAAACAATTACTAATAAACTACAAACATTCATTAACTGGTACCTGCGAAGAATAGAGGAGATTTAATTGTATGATAGAATCGCTAATGTTGATCCCCGTGTGGGTTCCGGGGCCCCATTATGGGGAAAACAAGTATACACCCACTGTCTCCCCAACAAGCATGTCGTAAGAATCGACTAATTCTCGTTTTCCTTGAAGTCGGAGTGCATCTACCTGTGAGGCAAGGAACCAACAGTCTGAGTACAAATAAATAAGGCCTGTAAAACGGATGTGCACGCAACACTAAGGCTCTGGAACAATTCTAAAGTCCAGAGGTGTATGAACAACCAGAACTTTCTGCCGGAGTTTACAGCCGGTGAGCGCTACGAAGAAGAAGGAGCTTAATTTTGAGCTTTGTGAGAGAACAAAACTAGCTCAGGTGGACCAAGAGGGGAAGAAAAGACGCTGACGATGACACATGCTGCGAAAACCTTAGAAGAATATGGTTATAGTGCATTTGCCCTAGAACTCTAAGAGGTATAGAAATAAAGGCAGGCTAAAATTACATGAAGAAAGGAGCTAGAAAGACATTATATGAGTTGGTTGAGGGCTTATGGTCCTTTTGGGGAGAGGGAGGGATTGGTTAGTTGCGTATCCTTTACAGGACGTTGCAGAACCAACCCCAGCAGCACCTGGATGTTGTGTGGTTTTTCTGGGCAAATTTACGTCCAGTAGTTTGCCATTGCCCTGGACTGTCGGCTCTCTTGATACCACTGTAGAAACCAACGCAAGGCGCATGGCCCGCAGCTGGGATCGAACCCGGCATCCCGGCCATACGAAGCGTTCGCATCGACTTAGCCACAGAGCCGATTGAGGGAGGAATAGAAGACAGAGAAACAAGAATCAGCGCTTAGTGGGTGATGTAGGTAACATCACATCAGCCACCTTTACCTGGTACCAGACATCATCATCATGCAGCAGGTCCTTTGCAGAACGTCGCTCTCATCACAGTCTGTCTGAAAGAAACTCGGTCTCTCGCCAGGTCTACCGTCTTTTGCAGTTACCTACCCAAGGTGTCACATATATCTTGTGACCATCTTTGCGCTGGTCGGCCCCTACCCTTCTTTCCTGGCATCATATCTGCTGCTATTATTCTTTCCAATCCACAGTGGCTCTTGATATTTCTAAACATATTTCAGTTTTCATGTTGAACAAATTAACCCCAAACACCGTTCTTATTTTCTTCAAGGAAGTTGGTACATTGATGCACTTCTTCTTTTTCTTCTTCTTCTTCTTCTTCTTCTTCTTCTTCTTCTTCTTCTTCTTCTTCTTCTTCTTCTTCTTCTTCTTCTTCTTCTTCTTCTTCTTCTTCTTCTTCTTCTTCTTCTTCTTCTTCTTCTTCTTCTTCTTCTTCTTCTTCTTCTTCTTCTTCTTCTTCTTCTTCTTCTTCTTCTTCTTCTTCTTCTTCTTCTTCTTCTTCTTCTTCGAAATCCCTTAAAAGGGCGTTTAGTATGATGCGTTGCGGTTTTCAGCTTAACTACGATATCTGCGCATTTCGGCCCTTTCATCTAATTTCAGTTAACCCTTAATTACTTATTGTTGGCTTTTACCACATTCTTGTTAAGAGACAGTGGGTCTACCCCCCAACACCCCCCCCCCCCCCGGCCCTTTAAAAAAAATTTGACCAGAGACCCGCACGGGGAAATTCGCTTATCTGAACTGATTTTGTCATCCCTAGTTGACCGGCTGCGTTTTCTTAGGACCCACTTGATTTTTAGATTTCAGCCAAAGGAACTGGAAGCTTAGGTTGAGCGCATCACCACCACCATCCCCCCCCCCCCCACAGTCAAGTGGAATATAGGATGAAGAGCACAGCTCCTTTCCTCTCTTCTGGCCTAGCAGATAACGTTTTTAAGGAGGTTAAGGAATCTGCCTACAATGGTTTTTGTTTACACATTTAATTTATTTTAAATAAAGGTTAATTTGGGGTGTTCGTAAAGTCCCACTACACTTTGTTTGCAGAACAAATTTGAAAAACCCAACTACATAACGTCATTAAAAAATGTGCTTAAGATAGAAATTAAATAAGTTACAATAGTTACTGCTATGGTCTAAGCAGTTTTGGGAGAAGTTGGAAAGTATCAATGAACCAGTCCTTAAAAAGATCTCAGAAATGTTCACCACGGAGTTTCAAGACATGAATGGCCATGTCTCTTTGTACTGTCAAATACCTTTTGCAACGTTTTTTTGTTTGTGTTTTTTTGTTTTGTTTTGTTGTTGTTGTTGAATGGTAAATCTGACTGTTTTTGTTGATACACCATTATGTTTTGAGTGCAAATAATTACTCCAACAGACAGCAGCCATTCAATGCATATTGCTTTGCGACTGACTGTGGAGCACATTCTGCCGTGACGTCATCTACTTCGTTTTACACATTTGTTCTACGTACATACACGATTTTACAAGCACCATATATTTATTGGTCATTAAGCACATTATTATCTTTATCATCATTACGCACTTTAACAAGGTTCCCGTTTGTTTAGACTATCGCCACCATCGTGTCGATTCCTTTTTTTTTTCCAATACAATTCGAGGGAACAGAAGAATTTAAGGTAGAGACAGTCTGGTCAAGCCTTTTACCACGCGCTCTGAATGTGGATTGCCTCAGCGGTGTCGTTCGGTTCATACACGAAATTTGTCTGCGGTCCCTGGGGATCGTCGCCTGAGCAAAGGAGTTCACGTTTTGTGAGATACTCTCAGCAGGCCGCGAGCTGTTCTGAGTAGAGAGACTGACTCATG